CAAGAAAACAAACATATCAGTGGATACCTATAACCATCTTCCATGGAAAACATGCATGAAAGATTTCATAATGTGCTGAAATGATCAAAACCTTCTTAGCATCATAATTTCTTCTTCATATAACATCTATACATTAGGATTGTTTTCATTAAACCTATACCAGTCTTTAACTGTTTTGTGTAAACTATGTGCTTCATTTTTATTGAAGTATGTGTTTTTATTTGCAAACTGAGTACATTCATTGAGCTTTTCAACTGGAAAAATCTAAAAGCCCCAACATATTTCAAACAATCACCTTAATCAGACACCTGAGATAAACAAACAACTGAGTAACAAATTGAGTGAGCAGATTCTCAATGAACATAAATAATGAATCAGTCACACCTAGATATTCAACTGAGTAAATCCTAGAGCCGCATGCATTGCCTTTAGAATATTAACAGATAATTAAAGTAAACCAAAGCCAACATAGAGAATGGTTTTAAGACCTTTATTATGAAGCATAGAATGAACTCATATGCAAATTAAAGATGATATAGGTGAAATGGAAGAGAGTATGTTGTCCAAGTTGTGTAGTGGTGTACAATATTCTCAATAGTAAATTTTCAAGAAATACCAGGAGGTAAAGGATAACAGCTCACTTACACTTACTGTGTACATTTCTGGGAAACAAATATGTCTCATGGAAGATGGCACCAGAAGTCATGGACTCCTATCTGAATTTGAAAGTGAATTTTTTATTTCACACTTTATACCATAATGAAAATGCAAATCATCAAAGAATCATAAGCTGACACAATAAATGCAGAATGTGTTATGACTGAAGGAACCAGATAGATACATGAGAACAATTTAGTATTTTCAAAAGAATTTCATGGTTAGGGAAAGATATCAACTTTTTTTATATACTCTATTGATCATAATGACAGGAATAAAATTTAAAAAGGAAACATCTCATACACATTCTCTGTTTGAATACAATCTCCATAATCCTTTCTATGATAGCACCTTCCTATCTTCTAGCACTTTTTAGTGTTCTTTGACTGACTGCATTACAGAAAATTAGGAAGGAAAAAAAGAACTTTCACCAGAAATTCAATGTGGTGGAATGAATTCAACAAACTTTATCATAAAACATCTCAGTGGTGTGTCGGATGCAGTATTGACTTTACTGCCCAACTAAAATGTGTAGCTTTTTCATCATCTTTGTTTTTGTCATTAAGTGGTTCAAACAGTACATTTATATAATCACTATTTTTTTCTCCTTAAGATCCAAGAATTAATTACATTTTCTATACTACCAAGTTCTATACTCAAGTGATGAGAGGGAAAACAAACATGTGTCCATGATGTGGTTATCTAAAACACAAATAAATAATGAATAGGCATTTGTCCTTTCAGAGTTCTATAGGCATGGATTTTCAGAATGATATCACTGTATTTTCACTCTTTTGTAATCCCCATTCTATTCAACGTGTGTCCTCTAATTATTTTCTAGAAGTTATAAAAGTATTCCATGCTAGAATTCAGGTGATATGCATTCTATTTTTACCAAGATGCACCTAACCCTCGAGAGACTTGAGGCCCCAATGAATGAGGAGGTCTGGTGAACTGGGGACTAGGGACATCCTCTTGGAGACAAGGGAGGAGGAATGGGATGAGGCATTGTCAGAAAGTGGACTAGGAAGGGGATAGTAACTGGACTGTAAAAACTATTTCACAAGAAGAAGAAGAAGGAGGAGGAGGAGGAGGAGGAGGAGGAGGAGGAGGAAAGGAAGAGGAGAAGGGGGAGGAGGAGGAGGAGAAGAAGAAGGAGAAGAAGGAGAAGAAGAAGAAGAAGAAGAAGAAGAAGAAGAAGAAGAAGAAGAAGAAGAAGAAGAAGAAGAGGCGTAAGCAGAAGCAGAAGAAAAAAGAAGCAGAAGCAGAAGAAGCAAGAAGCAGGAGGAGGAGGAGGAGGAGGAGGAGGAGGAGGAGGAGGAGGAGGAGGAGGAGGAGGAGGAGAACCTGGAGAAGAAGATGGAGAAGAAGAAGCAGAAGAAGCAGAAGCAGAAGAGGAATAGGAAGAGGAAGAAAGGAGAAAAAGCAGAAGAGGAGAAGAAAGAAATTATTAAAAAAACATAAGACTTTTAAAATAAAAAAATTGAAGAAATTTTATATGTAATCTTTTCCCATTTATAAATCCCTGAAAGTGCAACTGTGTGATTTCAGGAAAATAAATTTATCAGGAATTTATGATCTAGAGACAGGTAACCCTAACTCAAAAATAAAAATCATACAAGCTGTTATCCCTTTTTTCATTTGAGCTTATTAGGTATTTTTAAGTGCATTGTTGTAGGGTCACCTGTTGTTTCTATATAGAAAGAAAAACAGGAACAATACATTGAAAGAGGGTAAAGAAATACATATTTCAGAATTGACCCCAGTATTGATATTTGCAGAATGAAATAAAAAAATAAGTATGAGATTGATGTTCTCATCTTCCCAGCATCTTCTAGCTTTCATAGTCTCTGGTGAGTCCTGTGACTCTTCTTCCTTTCCAATTTCTTTCACATTTCCTCCTCCTCTTACTTGATGACCCTTTTATAAACTATCAGGACATAAATGCCAACTTAAGAGGTATAATAAGGGCAGGCTTAGTCTTATGGACCTGAGTACATTGAGACCCAACATCATGGCCTATACTAGACTCTCGCACATTGGTCACTTATATAATGTAGCAAAAAAGGCAAACTAATTCACATTAAGGCAAAGGCCTCCATGAGAGATCATACCTTCTTTTCTATTCTACTCAAGAAGATGCTAGGTGGTCAGTGAACACCAACATCTGCTGTGATTCAACATGTATGTTATACTGCGAAGAGAAATGATCCCTCTCTTCTAATTTATCTGAGGAACACCTAGATCAATAGAAATAGACTCTGAAATAAATAGCTAGTGGCACTTTGTTTGCCCAGTCTTCCTTATTCTGGGTGTTAAACTTTAAAGTCAGTCCTTACTCAATGGATAGGTATAGGACAAATGTTAGCCCTCTATGATCAAAGAGAAAGCCATGAGGCTTAGTGTGTAAAACTATATCCTTTGTGCTAACCTTGACCTCACTATCATGAAAGCATTGAAACCTTATTTGTGCTGGGACTAGTGCAGTAAAATATCCAGTGGCAAGGTATATTCTTCTCAATGTGATTATCCATCTAAATAGCTCTTTTTTTATATAATTTATTTTTTCTCAAATCGTAATTCATTCAGAGAGGGGTTATAAACACAGAAGGGCAGGATGTGGGGAAGGGAATGACACTGGAGTGTGGGTGATCAGGAGGGATACAGATATCATCAGAACCGGTATCGGCTGGGTGAAGGTTCAAGGGACAAGTCACTATGACTCTGCTTATGACTCGCTTGTCCTTATCTAAGTTGATATTGTCTGCCCAGGCTACCTATTTACAAGGTCTATGACTACTCAGGCTTGTAAATTTCCACAAAAGCTGCCTGTTGACATTAGCTTATAGCCATCTGTTTTGATGTTTTTTCACGGAGACCCAAGACTTGGTGTTAGTATACATGTATGACAGGCCCATTGCTGATTTTAGGCCTTCAGTAGGTAAACAGGGCTGCCCCTGACATCTCCTCCCTTCTCTAAGTATAGAAGGGCTGTGGCAATTCTAAACTTGTGAAGGCGGGGATAGAGGCCTGACCTCCAGTATTTGAAGGGGACCTTGTAATGGCTCCAGTCCCCCTGTCATTGTCCAGTGAGGCATGAGGGCCATACCCATCCTGATGTCTTTTTCCTTGAGAGGGGATACTTTTGACATCAACTCCTATGCAGTCAGGCTTGTCCCTCAGGGAACCCAGATAGATATTTTTATCTTTTATTGATATTCCCTTGCAGTGCTTAGCCTCGCAGCCTAAGCAAGAATTCAAATCTCCTGACAGAGGGGGTTCTGGGTAGCCCCTCTCTGATTGGTCTAGGGGTAGAAGTCCCCCCTTTTAGTTGGGTGGAGATGGCTTTTGGAAACACCCTGTATAAAGTAACAACCTCATCTTGAGTCTCGTGGTCCTCCATAGCTAACTAATGATAATGTATCTGAGTAGGTTTTGCTACCAAATTATTTATCTGTTGTATCACAGAGTTAGTCTGCCTATTTGAGAGCCAGAGACCAGCAGAAAAAAGCAAAAAGAACCCAAATAATGGTCCCAAGATGGGAGGAAATAGGGCTGACAACCTTGGAGAGGTTGAAAACCAATTCTTGTACCAGCCTTCATCTGTCTCTTTCTCTCTCTGATTTTTCTTAGGGCCTTCACTATCTGTTTCACGCTCTCTTTAACCCTCCTTGTCTTGACTCTGTAAATGCAACCTTCTTCTTTAAGAGCTGTACATAGTCCAGAGCTGTACACAGTCTTTTCTATTGTAATAGAGTAAATCAAGTCCAATAAGTATCTTTGCGATTTTAGGAGGTCTCTTCAAACAGCGAAACGAGGGATTTCTTCAGATTAGTAATGTCAATCTCTAGCTGTTTGATGTTCTTGTCAGTAGCCCTTCGAAGGTCTGAGTAGTGTAAGTAGTGTAAGTTCAGAGGCCAACATCTGGATTAGAACTTCCAACAGCAGACATCATGGGTGATTCATTTTTACCTGGGATGCTGCCTGAGTTAAAGCTCCTGGGAGTCCCTCTTTCTCTCGGTTTTCTGGGGTGGGGTGCTGAGCTGCTGCCTGTGACCTGCTCTATGCCTATAGAGCTCTTATAAAATTTCAATAACTTTACTTTTTTATAGAAGGAAGGACAAACAAGAACCTTGGCAGCAAGTTCTTTTCCCCATTAGGGAAAAATTTCATTTAAAGAATATAGTAAGGGTTCCCTTGAATCTGTAGCTTTATGTTATTTCCCTGGAGTTTTCTCTGTATTAAATGTGTCTATTTCTAACTCTGTGGTAGTGTTGGCAGCCCTGGGAAGCAATGGTGTTAGGAGATCTAAAATCTTGGGTAGCAGTGCTGTCCCTAGGCCTGGGTTAGTGATGACACCAATATCATAAAGAGTGGTGATATCATAAAAATAATGCTCAGATGATTGTAGTGTGGTCCAGCAAGAGGTACAGGGGTAAAAGGAGGCAGTTTTCTCTTTGTAGATCTTAAGAGAGACATTGGTGAAGTTCTAATACATCCTCATACTATTTAACATTGGAAATCCTGTACATTCCTGATACATCTTTGTTGGCAAGCCATGTATGTACCATAAAAAGCAGACTTTATGTAACATTCTACTGGTGTGCAAGTCTGTGAGGTGTACCATTTTTTATGGCCAATCTCTTTTTTTCTGTCTTGCAGGCACATGTCACACCCTCTTGGAACCTGAACCTCACATCTTTCTGAGAAGTGGTAAGATGATTGCTGATTGCTTTTTTCAAAAGGACATGTGACTCCTTTTAATCAGAATCCGATTATGTTTTATCATGCACACCCACAGGTTTATATAAAGAAATCAAACTTTCCTTGCTCTTGAATGTTCTTACATAGCAATGAGATAATATTAATGCACAGAAAGGGCTAACACGTTATATTGCTCTTGCAATCTACATCTCTTGTTGTTCTGTGTTTCTTCTTCTTTCCCCATTTTCTTCAAAAGTTTTCATCCCACTTGCAAGAATTGTCACTCCATAATTGATCAAAAATCAAATGCCTACAAAGAAGGTCATATCACAGGAAGCATAGTCTTATGTATCCCAATGCTAAGGGAAAAACAAGGTATTCTGTTATAGACTCTGGAACATTGGTCACATTCTAAAAGATTTGACATGGAACACTAGTTCATATCAAGGCAATAGCAAACATGAGAGAACATTGCTCACTGCCTACTCTGCACATGCTCCACAGTATTCAAGAACCTGTGTACACCAATAAGTTTCAAAATGCAGGCTGTACCTTGGAGAGAAATGAGAATTTATCTGAGGAGCATGTAGACCCATTCAAATGGACTTTACAATCTATGTCTAGTTGCTCTTCACTTGCAACATCCATCTCATCTAGGAGCACAACAAAAAAAAATGGGTCCCTGTACAATAGAAATGCTAATAACAAATGAGACCTTCTTAGTGCTTCAAGAGAAAGCAGTGAGGCTTAATGCGAAGGTATTGGTCCCTAGTGCTTACCTTGACCTGATTAACACAGTAGCCAGAAATCCTTAATTGGGCTGGGCCCAGTATCACAGAAGAGGATGCATGCAGTATTCTTTTCAGTGGTATTATCCCTGTAGAGCTCTTATAAAATTTCACTGAGTTAAATTTTTATGAAAGAAGTGGCAAAAAAGTAGCTTCATAGCATATTCTTTCCTGAAGATCTTAGTTAAATAATCAAGAAACTTCCCATTTATCCATGGAAGATGTTAGTACCCTTCAGCTCTCTCTCCTTAATGTATCAATTCTTAACTCTGAGGTAGTATTGGTAGGCCTGGTAAGAGCTGGAATTGAGTGATATAAAGGGAGAGGTATGGGTAGCAGTGCTCAATGGAAACTTTGGTCAATAATGACAACCCAACATGGTGAAAGAAATGATGACATTGAAATCATGCTTAATAGGATGACACTGAGGCACAACCAGGAGGACTGGGATGAAATGGGGCATGTGTCTCTTTGAGACAATCTTGGGGTATGATCCTGAAGTCCTAAATGCCCATTCCCTGTTTCCTAGTAGTGGAAATTTATAAAATCATGGTACAAGGAACACTTTGTGTGACATTCTATTGTTGTGAAAGAGGCTTCAGGGCAACCCATTGCTCATGACTCTTTCTGCTCTAGTATTTTGAAGTTATATAGTATGTCTTCTTACTGCCTAGAGTAACACATATATTTGGAAGTAGAAAGATCCTGGCTAAAACAGCCCTTCAAAAAAACATGTACCTCCAAATTTTGGAATCAGAATCTCAGCATGTCTAAAAATATTGATTTTAGAAATATATCAATCTACATCACAGTCGATTCTAAGCCCTATTGATCCAAAGATTAATAGAGGAAAATTATATTTTCCTCATTCTCAATATGTCTTACAAACATAGACATAAGCTAATATTCATGGACAGAAGTTGATAAAACATTATTTTACCAAGAATCTCCATCATTGTTGCTTTTACACTTAGAGGTGATAGGACCTCAACACATTCTTCCTTTCATATTCTGAAGGCACTGCTTTCCATGTCACCCACAGTGGGAGAGAAAAGAAGGCTTTAAATTTCCAACATGGCCAAGCTCCACATGAAGTAGTCCCAGTAGACAAATATTTGAGCATTTTTTAAAAATATCACTTCTCAGGAAAATTGTATTTATGGATAAGTATAAAGTGTTGTCCTGTGTCTTTCCTGCATTCCCAATTTCCTTTACAATTTATCTTGCATCACTCTTATTGAATGATCTATCCACAATTCATCATAATACAAATACCTACACAAGAGGTAGTATCAGAAAAAGCATAGGCATGTGGAGCCTAATCATACAGGAGCAATAACATGGCATATACTAGACACAGGGACATAGGTCACACATTCAACATATCTCCATAGGAAACTATTTAATCTCAATGGAACTGCCTCACTGACAGCACATTTTTAACTCTCTACAAGTTCATAAGACTCTGAAGACTTTAAGAAACTATCCACCACTGAGATCCAACTTTCAGGTTAGGCCTTGTATGAAAATGATCTGTCTATTCCTATTCATCTGAGGAGCACATATTTCAATTCCAATCAGCTCCTAAACGTATGTCTAGTTGCTCTTACCTTCCCCAGTCCATTTCATTCTGGAAGAAAACCTGAAAGTTGGTCCCTGCACAAAAAGAAGGTTAAAGAAAGATGTGAACTGGTTATTGTGTAAAGAGACAAACATGACTCAAATCAATTTATCATCTGATATGAAAATTATGGTAGCAAAGAACAATTTTTTTTTGCTGGGGCCTATAAAATAGAGGTAGCTGCTACAATAGGGACACTGATCAATGGCATTATCCCTGTAATGTTGTTATATAGATTCACTGACTTTAAATTTTTATGAAGAGAAGGGCAAACAAGGGAACAGAATGCTTGCTCTTTCATTCATTAAAGAAGATGTTCTTAAAATAGTCAAGAATGGTTCCCATGAATCTGATGAAGACTCTGGTACATTGCAGGGAAATTTCTCCATTAATATCCATGAGATATCAACATGCATTTTAGATCTCTGAGAAGAATGATCACTTTCTACCAAACTGAATGAGAAAAACAGAGATCCATTTAAACAGACACTAACATCTATACATAATGCCGTGTTATTGTCAAGTCCATCTCAGTTCAGGAGCTCACCAGAGTGTTGGTCCTTTCAAAATGGTTAGCCTAAGGACAGATGTGATCTGGCTATTCCTTAAAATGGTAGTATAGATGCTTTGTTGGACTGAATTGGTCTTTCATGATTTCACTGACCTTACAGACATCTTAGCCAAGAATCTTTCTGGGTGTTGGGCCCCTTAGGAAAGATCATGGCTAAGGGTGTCCCTTAGAAATGTGTCCTTTTTGAGAGTCTGAGTCTGAGTTTTGAGCCCTTCTAAAATTAATAATTGTAGAAAAAAAGAAAACAATCAACCAAGAGATGAGGGCCAATTCTTAGTATGTTCTCAAATATACACCTACAGATTTACAAATGATAAAGGAAATTTCCTAACTCCAGATAATTTTCACACAAATTACCATGAGCTATTTGTTGTGGACACAAGGGGATGACACATTCCCATTCTTGATGTCTCCAACTTTGTTGTTTACATGATGAATAATTACAGGAACTCAACAATGCATCCAAGACTTTTTTTAAGTTTGCAATTTTCCATTACACTGCAGACCCCAGGGACAGAGCATTGATTATTGAGGAAGAAGTATATAAATTTCCAAAATGGCCAGCCTCCAAATGATGTGTTCCCAAAGGAAGACTTTTGAGAATTTTTTAAAAATAGCATCCTTAGGGAAATTTGCTGTGAAGACATGTTGAATTTCCATGTGTTATCTTTGGTCCCTCTGCCATCCGAATTTCCTTCACAGAGATTCTTTCTCCTCTTACTAAAATTTGCTGGAACATTCTTTACAAAAAAAATGTCTGAATAGGGGTTGTATCACTGTAAGCCTAGTATTAAGGTATCTGGTAACACGAGGTGTGACAAAATGACCTAGACACAGGAACATTGGTAATGTTTTCAATTTATTGACATGGCAATCCAATACACTTTCACACAAATGAATCTATGGAAAAACATTAGGCAGTCTCACTTGTGCCCCAGAAATTCTGAAGAATAAAAGTACCAGAATTCATCACTGAGTTCAACCAAATGGTTAGACCTTAGAGAGGAATGATTTCTCCCTTGAAATTGGGATGAGAAACACAAGGGACTATTCAAACAGACTCTAGAATCTATATGTAGTTGTCTGGTTATTCTGTTTATATCACATGAGTAGCTCATGCTGAGTGTTAGTCCCTACACAATGAATGGACAAATGACAGGTGTGATCTGGCTATTGCTTCAGAAGGAAGCAGTATGTGTTTGTTGGAATACAATAGTCTTTTTTTTTTTTTTTTTTTTTTTGCTCATGCAAACAGTGTGGTCAAGAATTCTGCAAGATATTGGTCATAGTGGATAGAAGATACAGCTGCAATGGGATTTTTCTCAATGACATCATCCATGTATAGCTCTTAAGCATATTGTGACTGTAGATTATTAAGAAAAGAAGGAAAAAGGGATGCTTTGACAGCATGTTCTTTCCTCCTTTAGAGAAGACATTCTTGAAAGATTCAAGCAAGTCTTTTCTTGAATCCCTGGAAGCGTTTTCTAGACTGCAGCCCTCTCCACTTACAAATGACCATTTTTAATTCTGTGGCAGTGTTGAAAATCCAGGTAAGTGATGATATTAGGTGATGTAAAAGCATGGGTTTTGTCTAGGCCTGGGTTAATGTTGATAACCTAATGTCATGAAAAGAGCTATTGACATAAAAATAATGCTCAATAGGATTACTCTGAGACTGACATGTGTACAGTGTTGCAAAAGATTCTATTCCTTTGAAGTCCTCTTGGAGGGCTTTCCTTAGGTCCTCAGATACATTTGCCATGATTCCCAAGAGAGAAAAGATGGACCCTCATGGTGCACTTCGTTGGCAAACATTGAATGTCAACAAACACCTGATCTGACATTGTATGTGACTGCAAGTTTGCAATACCCAACTACATCTCATGACCCTTTATTTTATAGTGTCTTCTGCTAATCTGGTATACCTTCTTGGAACATAGAGATTCACTTATTTTAAGTAAATGGAAAGATCATGACCAAGAGCTTCTGGAGAAGTGAACTGTGACTCGACGTTTTGGCCTGCATATCTCAACCTATCAAAAGTTTTTGATTTTAGAAAAAAATAACAAAACATACTACAAAGGGCCAATTCGCATGAGAGATAACGTGGATACTCCTGGTGCAACTTTGCTGGCAAATACTGCTTGCCAACAAACAGTATAAGGATCTACTTGTGTGCAAGACTGGGAGGCCCACCCATTGCTTATGATCCCAGAATTATTTGTGCCTTTCAGTCATCTAGCATTTCCTCTTGTATCCCAAAGGATCACAGATCTCAAAAAATGGAAATATCACTGGAAATGGATTCCCTTACAAATGACATGTGCATTCATGTTTTGGATTCCAAATCTCAATCCATCTAAATTTTTGATTTTAGCAAAAAATTGAAAAAGGAAAAAAAAATCACACCAACTAAGGGCCAATTCTGAGTATGTTTTGTCATGTAGATATACAGATTTAAAGAGGGTAAAGAAATTTTCCTTACTCGTGATAATATTATACCTTCATAACTATGACCTACTTGTCATGAACTGAAAAGATTAACATATCCCATTTCTTGGGGTATTCATCTTTGTGGCTTACATGATGAGGAGTTATAGAAACTCAACCCAGGCTTCCAAACCTGCTCTGAATTTCCAATTGCCAAAGTGACTGGAAACCCAAGAGACAGAGCCTTGGTAAGTAAGAAATAAGTAGTCAATAAATCTCCAAAATGGCTGACATAACATGATGTCTTCCCAAAAGCAAAACATTGAGCAAATATTCCAAAAATTCTCACTCCTCAGGGAAGTTGCCCATGTGGACTATAAGTAGTTATCTGTGTTGCCTATGGTCCAACTTCCTTCCAAATTTTCTTTGCACTGTTTCTTTCTGCTTTTACTAAAGTTAATTTCAGAATCATTCATTTAACAAATGCCAGCCTAGGAGGTTGTTTCAGGACAGGCCTGGAATTATGGAAAGAAATGACACTGTGATTCATGACAACATGGCCCAAACCGGACACAGGAGCATAAGTTACCTTTTCAGTTTAGTGACATGGCAATCCATCTCACTTTAAAACTAATGGATCTATGTTAGAACATTGGTAATTATTCCTTGTTCCACCAACTCTCTGAAAAATTCAAGTAACAACAAATCCCACTGTGTTTAAACATGCAAGTTAAAATTTGCAGGTTAAACCTGTACTTTCATTGAACTTCCTAACACAGTAGCAAAGGAAACTTGTGGGTACTGAGCACTGAAGGATAGAAAAGGCATTTGCAAGAGGAAATCTGCTCAATGACATTATTTATTGAGAGTCCTTACAGAATTTCTCTCACCTTGAATTTCTAAATAAAGAAGGGCAAACAAGGGCCTTTACAGCTTGCTCTTTCTTCCTTTAGAGTAGACATTCTTCAAACTTACAAACTAGGTCTCCTTTGCATCCCTGGAGGATCTTTTTACTCTGAAGCAATCTTCAATTACATGTAAACAGTTCTAACTCTGAGGCAATGTTGGCAGGCCAGGTAAGCACTGGGTTTGGGTGATATAAAAGCATAGGTAGCTGTGGTCAGTGTAGGCCTGGGTCAGTGATGACAATCCAATGTCATGAATAGATGTGATGACAAAAAATGATGATTTAGGTGTACGCTGAGGTTCAACCAGGACAGTGTTACAAGAGGTCATTTTACTCTTTGGGGATATCTTGAAAGACATTCCTGAGGTATACAGATGTCATTGGCCTGTTTCCCCCAATAAGAAACCTGGACTACCTTTGTTCTACTATGCAGACAAACACTATTTAGCAAAAAGGACTTAGTCTCACATTATACTTGTGGAAAGTCAGCAAATCCCACCAATTACTCAAGGTTCTCACATTTCTGTTGTATGGCAGTTATCTAACATGATATCTTGGAGCCAAAGGAATCATATATCTCATATATATGGAATAATCATGGCTAATGGCTTCTCTTAGAAAAAGGCCTATGCCTTCATGTATTGGCCTCCAAATAAAAATGATTTCAAGTTACTGATTTTTATAAAAAAAATAGTAATGAAACATATCAACAGAGGGTTGATTGACAGTATCTACTGCCATACAGAGCTACAGATTTACAAGGAGTAAAGGAAGTATCTTAAATCCTGAAGATACACAAACATTATTCTTACACACATTATTATGAGACACTCTTCGTGAAAAGAAGAGGATAACTCATTTCTGATCATAAGATCTCCATCTTGGTTGCTCACATGGTGAGGAGGTACAGGAACTCAACAGAGGCTTCTAAGCCTGTTCTCATTTCTATATTGCACATTACACAGGAAAACCAAGGGACAGAGCCTTGGTTGCTGAGAGAGAAGTAGTTTATAAATCTCCAACATTAACAACCACCATATGATGTCTTCGCAAAGGGTCAAACAATAAGCAAATATTCCAAAAATTCTCATTCCAAAGAGAATTTGTTCATGTGGATTAAATGATATTTTCTGTCTTACCATGGAACCACTTACTACCCAATTTCCATCCAAGTGTTTCTTTCTCCTCTTACTAAACTTCACATCCCAATCATCAATTTTAAAATAATGTCCACTTAAGAGGTTGTCTTAATGGAGGCTTTGTCTTATGTAACCTGATGCCACTGTGATTCATAACAACTTTGCTCAATTTGTACTCATGAACTAGGGTCACTCTTTCAGTTAAGTGGCATTGCAACCCATTTTAACATTAACACAAATGGATCCATGGCAAAACAATTGTCACAATCCCCGGTGCCTCCAATTATGCAAAATTTAAGTTATAGTACTGGACAATGACTTTAAAAATTCACTTTAGACCTTGAAGAGGAATGATACTGCCCTTGCAATTGAATGAGAAATACACAAGTTTCTTCAAAAGGACTCTAAAGTCTATAGGTAATATCTTACTTATTATCTTGTTTATTTTTTTGGGGGAGCTCAAGCAGAGTGTTGACACCTCCACAGAGGTGAGGTAAAAGTCATATGTGAACTGGATGTTGTTGTTAGAGTAAGCAGTGAGTCTGTCTTGGAACACATTGGTACTTTGTGCTTTCAGTGGCCTTACTAGCCAAGTAGACAAGAAAACTTGTGGTTCTTGGGCCCAGTAGTATTGAAGAGGCAGTAGAGTAATATTGTGAGAGAATATTTGTCACTATAGCCTGTGCCTCTGACTCTGTGCAGAATTCTGAGATTCTGGAATCTGGTCAGTGAAATAATTTTATGAGAGTCCTTACACAATATCTCTCACCTTAAATTTTTAATTAAAGAAAGGAAAACAAGTTTCTTGGATGCTTACACTTTCCTTCTTTAGAAAAGACATTCTCTAAACTTTCAAAGATGGTTTCCCTTGCATAAATGGAAGATAGTTATACCCTGCAGCATTCTCCCCTTCCATGTGACCATTTTGTTGGCATGCCATCTAAGAGCTGTGGTTGGATGATATAAAATCATAAGTTGCTGTGTTGTATCTTATTATGGATCAATGATGAAAGCCAAATGTCACGAAGAGAGGTGATGACATCAAAATAATCATCTAGGTGTACACTGAGGTCCACCCAGAGGACAAGGTTACAGGAGGCCCTTTAACTCTTTGGACACCTCTTGGGGTACTTGCCTGAAGTTCTCAGATGCCCTGGCCCTTTGTCCCATGTTAAGAAATGTACAAACTCCTTGTGCTCTTTTGTTGGCAGTGCTTACCAACTATCATCTAGTCTCATACTCAACTTGTGGACAAGTCTGCATGGCAACACCATTGCTCAAGTCACTGTCATTTCTGATGTTTTGTAGTCATCTGGCATGCTCTCTTGGGGCCAAGGGAATCACAGATATCTGGTAAGTGGAGTCATCTGGGCTAATGTCTTCCCTTAGAAATGGCCTGAGTCCTCATGTTTTGGCATACAAGTCTCACCCAAACTCATGTGCTTGAGGTTAGGGAAAATAATAATAACAAAACACACCAAGAGATCCACAATTGTGAGTAAGTTCTGCCATGTAGACCTATAAGTTTACAAGGGTAAATGAATTTTCTTAAACACCAACAATCCCTACATACATTACTATGAGTTACCCTTCATGAAAAGAACAGGATAACTCATTACTGAACATGATGTCTCCATCATGGTTTCTCACATGGTGTGTGATTACAAGATCTAAACAGAGGCTCCAAGGCTGTTCTCAGTTCTCTATTTCCCATGACACTGGAGAAGCAAATGACAGAGCCTTGCTTACTGAAAGAGAAGTAGTCTATAAATATGCATCATTCCCAAAAAACATAAGATGTTTTCCCAAAGGGTGAAACACTGAGCAAATATTCTGAAAATTCTCATTCCAAAAGGTATTTATGCATGTGGATTAGTTGAAGATGTCTGTGTTGCCATGGAACTACTTCCTACCCAATTTACTTCCCAGTGTTTGTTTCTCCTATTTTTAAGTCGACATCTCAATCATCAATTTAAAAAAAAAATGCATCCCTAGGAGATTGTCTTTTGCAGGACTTGTCTTATGCTACCTGAGATCACTGTGATTCCTGAAAACATTGCTTAATTTGGACTCATGATCTAGGGTCACCCTTTTAATTTAATGACACTGAAATCCATTTAACCTCAACACAAATGGATCCCTGACAGACTATTTGTCACTATAATCTATGCCTCCAGTGCTCTCTAGAATTCATGTAACTGTATTTTCTAAGGACTTTAAAAATTCAGGTGAGACCTAGCAGAAAAATGATCCCTGTTTTTCAATTGAAAGAAGAACACATGGGTTCCTTCAAACAGACTCTAAAATTTATATGTAATTGTCTTTTTATTGTCCTGTTTATTTTATTTGGGGAGTTCAAGCAGAGTGTTGGAAGCTTCATAAAGTTGAGTCAAAAGTCATATGTGAACTGGCTATTGCTTCTAGAGTAAGTAGGAATTCAATGTTGGAACATATTGATACTTTGTGCTTTCAGTATCATTCCTAGCAAAATAGCCAAAAAACATGTATGTGTTGGGCCCAGTAGTATTCAAGTGGCATAGAGAAGGATTGTGAGAGACCATTTTCCATTATCATCAATGTCCCTGATTCAGCGCAGAATTCTGATATTCTGGAATCTGGTCAGTGGAATTATGCCATGAGAGTTCTTACACAATTTGTCTTACATTAAATTTTTAAGTTAAGAAGGGCAAAAAAAAAGTACCTTGAGTGCTTGCTCTTTCCTGCTTTAGAGAAGACATCCTCAAAACATTAAGGAAGGTTTCCCTTGAATCTTTGGAAGAGTGTTCTACCCTACAGTCCTCTCCACCACCATGTGCCCATTTCTAACTCTCATGCAATGTTGGACTGCCAGGTAAGAGCTGTGCTTGGGTCATATGAAAACATTAGTTTCTGTGTTGTGGCTTGGCATGGGTCAATGATGACTACCTAATGTAAGGAAGAGAGGTGATGACATCAAAATAATCATCTAGGTGTATGCTGAGGCCCACCCAGGAGAACAGGGTTACAGGAGGTTCTTTAACTTTTGGGGCACCTCTTGGAGGACTTGCCTGAATTTCTAAAATGCCCTTCTCCTTTGTACCCTGATAAGAAATATTCAAACTCCTTGTGCTCCTTTATTGGAAAACACTGCTTTAAAATAATCAACTAATCTCATAATCAACACCTGTAAAAAAGTCTGCAGGTGTTTTGTAGTCATCTGTCATGCCCACTTGGAGCCAAGGAAATCACAGATCTATGGTAAGTGGAGTCATTTGAGCTAATGTCTTCCCTTAGAAATGGCCTGTGCCTTCATTTATTGGCCTCTGAGTCTCAGACAAACTCAAGTGCTTGGGCTTAGGGAAAAATGTAATATTCAAACGTGCCAAGACAGTGTCAATGTGAGTAATTTCTGTCATGTAGACCTAAAGTTTACTAGAGTAAAGTAATTTTCTAGAACACATACATTTCCTACCCACATTAATATGAGCTACTCTTCGTGAAACGAAGAGGAAAACTCACTCACGACCATGTGGTCTCCATCAGGATTGTTCAAAAGGTAAGGAGTTACAGGACCTCCAAAGAGAATTTCAGGAAGGTTCTCAGATCTCTATTTCTAATAACATTGGATAATCAAGGGACAGAGCCTTGAATACTGAGAGAGAAGTAGTATATAAATCTCCAACATTGGCAAACACCATATGATGTCTTCCCTAAGTGTCCAAATATTGAGCCAGTATTTAAACAATTCTCATTACAAAGGGAATTGCCCATGTGAATTAGTTGACATTTTCTGTGTTGCCATGGAACCACCTCGATCCCAATTTCATTCCCTGTGTATGTTTCATCTCTTCCTAAACTCCACATCACAATCATTATTTTTAAAAATTCCCTGTCAAGAAGTTGTATTTTGGTAGGACTTTTCTTATGGAACCTGAGGTTACTATGATTCCTGAAAACTTTGATCAATTTGGACTCATGTACTACGGTGAGCTTTTCAGTTTAGTGTCATTACAATCTATTTAACCTTAACTAACATGGATTTGTGACAGAACATTTGTCACTATGCACTATGCCTCCGAATCCCTTAAGAATTCAAATAGCAGTTTTGGCCAATTAACTTAAAAATTCAGGTTACACCTTGCAGAGGAAGGATTCTGCCATTGAAATTGAATGAGAAACAAACAGGTACCTTCAAAGAGACTCTGAAAACTATGTGCAGTTGCATGTTTATTGTCCTGTTTATATCATTTGGGGAGCTGAAGTAAAGTGTTAGCATTTCCACAGAGGGGATAGAAAATTCATAGGTGAACTGATAATTGTTTCAAGAGTAAGCAATTAATTCTGTCTTAGAATATATTGGTACTTTCTGCTTTCAGTGGCTTTCCTAGTAATATAGCCAAGAATATTAGTGGGTGATGGGCCTAGAAGTACAGAAGAAGTAGAGAAGTATTAAGAAACATCATTTATACCTATCTGCTGTAACCCTGAACCTTTGGAGACTTTTGACGTTCTGGAGTCTGGTCAGTGTCAATATTCCATGAGAGCTCTTACACAATTTCTCTCTCCTTAAATTTTTAAGTGAAGATTCCGGAGGGGCGGGGTTTGGGTAGCTGCTGTGCCCTGGATGTCCC